AAAACAGGTTGATTTGAATAAAAGCGTCCGCCAGATAATAATTGTCGTACGTTCTCCTTACCTTTTATCATTTAAACAATTCTTTACACAAATTTTACACATTTGAATAACCCCCCCAAAAATGTTAGGTAGAAGCATATACGGAGAGTTCAAAATATGCGTTTTTCACGTTGCCATTGGCTAGGAATTGATACTGCGCACCTCGTCTGCAGTCTTTCAGTTCCAAAAAGCAAACTACTGTACAAACCGAAACAAAGTTTCTGAGCAGATCTAGGTAAAATACGAGTAAGATGCCATACAAATTGATTTTATTGACACTTGTATCGTTTCACTCTCCGGACAAGGGATCGTTCTCGCGCGAGAACGATTTTCAATTTTTCAACTGACACATTTGGCGAAGGAGGGAGAAGTACAGTATAACTGTACGGACGGGTTTTGTTAAAAACAGACAAACACGCAAATGTTTAAAATGTGCCTTTCTGAGAAGAATCTCGTGATTTTGTTTCTGATGACCTTTGTTTTACTGTCTGCCGATGCCCTCATTTCAGGTAAATTGCCAACACTCCTCATCTCGCTATTTAATGAGTAGTTAGGTTTTCTTCGCTAAAATGGGACCCACTAAAAGGCCTCTTGCAATTTAAACAATTAAATCTAAATTTTGCCTCATGTACAGTAGAACCTTGCGGTTTTTTGCACCCCCTTTTTATTCGTGCCCAACCTTTTGAGACCCCAGTTTTACTCGTTTGTGCGGAGACAGGCAAGCCTATCATCACTGATCATTTTGAACCGGTTTAAAAGATGAAAGGGGAATTTATTATTTAATGTTTTATGTCAATGTTGCTCAGAAGTTTGGTATTTTAGTTAGGCCGTTCTTATTTTTCTCAGTATTGTGGAAGATGAAAAAAGTGCCACTTGGTGCAAACCAAAAAACGTTTTTTTTTTATGTCCTGTTCCCTAGAGAAAGTACCCATCTTATTTCCAAAATTCCAAAAGGGTAAGTATATGTCAATTATTTTACCAATGCTGTAATTAAAAATATTGTACTAAACTGTTCTGCGTATGACCCTTCAGTGGTTAAAAAAGTAAGTTGTTTTCTTATTTCAACAGTTTTATATTTGCTTCCACGATAATGATATATCAGCCTGTTTCTTGCTTCTTCTTTCTTAAAGGCCAATGGCCCTTTACAATAGAAGGGCGTGAAGAGTAGCTTGGTAACATCATCACTTTCACTAACCACTTATTTAACTCGGGGTCATGGTGGCCTGGAAGCTATCCTGGGAAGTACTGGGCACAAGGCAGGATACTCCCTGGATGGGATGCCAGTCCATTACAGGAATAGCTTGGTGCCTTGGCTAAATTGCACAATCTGCCCTACCTACATTTCCACCTAATTTGAATTGGTGAAGTAATTTCTAGCTTGTATAGTGTACAAGTAATTATTTTGTTAGTGTTATTTTATAAACTTAAGTGTATGATGATCCCTTATATAACAACAGGAAAAGACTAGAAGATTATAATTAAAGAAACTGGAAGCAAACAAACTTGTTCTGTTATTTTTGTTATTAATTAAATATTTCTAATGCAATGTGCGAGATTAATTTAATAGATGATTTGTATTGGGAATGCCAAATAACTACAGTAACCTATCACACTTACGGACATATGGAATGAGGAGGTAATTCTACATCCACCATCAGGATATCCACTAACACAGGTCTGAATTTCAGTTGCATGTTTTTTTTATATATTTTTTTTTAATTTAGATATTTCAGCAAAGACTTACTCCAAACAAAGAAGGCATTATGCTCATTCTGAATTTCTGAATCCACATTCTGTGCCAAAAGGCTCAATTATTGGTCCAGACAAAAACAAAACCGGACAAATAATTGGACGAGGTGGTGTAAGTATCTTACTTTTGTACAGCTTCATTTTGTACAGATGAAGTAGATTGTATGAACATGGAGCACAAAATCAACATGATCTACTTATTTGTTTCAACTAACTGGTTTAGAGGCAGAACACATGGAACATCCCATATCTGTTCTTTAACAACATCCATTCATACATTTTTCTAACAGTTTCTCCCAATTCAGGGTTGTGGAGGAGCTGGAGCCTATCCCAGTAAGTAATGAGCACAAGGCAGAGTACACCCTGGTTGGGCTTCCAGTCCATCAAAGTGAACATACAGACACAAACACAGATACACATGCACCTAGGGCCAATTTTCCCAGAAGCCAATTAACCTACCGGTATATTTTTGGATTGTGGTAAGAAACTGGAGCAACCAGAGGAAACCCAAGGGAACATGCGTCTTTAACCACATAGGTTTATAATATAAATTTTTCTGAGCAGTGATGAAATGGGCATGTTTAGGAAAGATAGAAACCATTCTATTGTCTTTGAGAAGTCTTCAGCTGTGTTTTTTAAACTTTAAAGTGATTATATTTAGCAACTACTGTATAACTATTTGAAAAATGTTCTTTTATGTTTTTGCACATCTAATGTTTTGGTATCATTTTCTTAATTATTGTAAGATATGCAATTAGATAAGCTTATTAATCTGTAGTTAGGTTTGTAAGGTGCTAAGCTATAAATAGATATTCAGTCATTAGTATACTGTACATGCTCTATATGAAAACAAATTTTTCCCTTTGGTCTTACCCATGTCCTACAGACCTTATTGTATTCTTATTTCTGGTTAGTACTGTACATTGGTTTGCATTAGCCTTTTCTCACATTCTTCAGCTTTTGCTGAATTTCACCCTGCTTATTCTCAGTAAACAGGATTGTGAATACATCGAAATACATCATTTTGTTTTTAAAATGTGACTTTGTCTTGAAAGTGGTGCTCCCTTAATCATCAGGATGGAAGCTTACCATACATCACCTTTCATGGCTAATTCATGCACTATAAATTAGATTAATCTTTTTTAAAGCATAGGTTGACAGATAATTCTAGATTCTAGAGGTGCATAGTAATACTGTGCCTGGTTATTTTGAAATTAATTATCTTGACTTTTTACCTCTTTAAAAGACGTAGA